GGCGACAGTGCATCGCAATGGCCCCCGGCAGCCGGCCGTTTTGGTGGCTCTCGTCAGGAACTCGGAGGGACCGACCTGGGCCGAACCCCGGCGGGCTTGGCGTTGGGCAGCTTGCGCAGCCTGAGCCGTGGGAGAGGCCACCGCATTTTCAAGGTTCCGCCGCGGGAAGAAAGAATCTCAGACACAGCCCGAGCCACAGCGGTACAAAACGGACGAGGGTAAGCAGTCTCCTCAGCCTCAGCCGTAGCGAAGCCCCAGCGCGATGATCGACCCCATGGCTTATGCGAGTGGCTGCCGTCACATTTATCACGGGTGTGACCCCCGATTCAATACAACCCGCTGCTTGTGTTGAGCGGCAGTTCCGGGCCAGGCGGCCTCATCGGTGCCAGCCAGCCCCGGAACGTGGTCGGGGAGGGTTTAGGATGGGTCGAACACAGCCACACGGAATCGACGCGGAACCGCTCCGGCACCGATTTTCGGGGTGCGCCCGGTCGATGTTTCTCTCACCTTACCAAAACCGGCACAGCCAGCCCCGGGAAGGGCCGCGCGAGGCCCAAAAAGCTTTGCCGGGCCGCTTTTCACCAAACTGTGGCAAGCGCACGATTTCGGTGGGTACATCCCTAATAGGGTTGGCTCAAGGTTTCGCGGTTTGGGGCGTTCAGTGTCGATTGGTGGAGAGCCATTGGCTATCGTCGACCGGATCCGTGGGGTTTATGATGAGCACCGATTGGGGCATTGTGGGCGGGACAGACCCTGGTGAAACACGGCGGCCAAGAACAACGGCCAACTACGGGTGCGAGAAGACTTGCACCTGGTATCTGCAGATGAGGGCATCCCTCGGATCCGACGATTTTGAGATCGTGAGAAGAGTGATGCACCTGGAGGAATGGGTGAGATACCTTGACTGAGGTGCTTTTGCAATTTTACGTTGTTCGTCAATATTCGCTAAGAAAACACAGCGCAAAGATGTGTCTCATTTGATTTCCCTAAGCAGCGCTAAAGCACCCGTTGTAAGGACTATCGCGGGCGTTGCGCACTAAGATGGTCTCGTGATACTGGTGCTTAAAAATGGAGTTTCCCTTAACAGCCAGTAAGTCTTCACTGTTTTGGGTGTGATTGAGTTGTAGTGGTTGAAGGGACGGATCTGACGGCGTTTTTGCAGCTTGTGTTTGCCAGCGGTGTTGGCTCAAACTGATTGTGCATGCTCACTTTTTGATCATTCAGGCACAGCTTGTTGGAAGCAATACCTAGAGGCTTTGCGCGCAACTTCAAAGACATTTCATCCTTCCGGCGTCTCCCACCATGAGGCTTTCCATGAAGAGAATTGGAGTGCTTGCCAAAAAGCCGCGAACCAAAATGCTGCCTCCCCTTAACAAGGCGGCAGATGAGCAACAACATGTTTTCCTTCCTCTGCCGGACTACGGTGCCAGAATTGAGAAATTGTTTGAAGGCGGACATAGTGTGGTCTTCATCCGCAGCAGCGTAGCCACGGGCAAGACTACACTGGCAGAGCATTTGGCACGTCAGTTTGACAAGTACGTCATGGTGGCATTCACTGGCGCAGGGGAGGAAGCTGCTTGGCAGCTGGGGACTGTGGAAGCCATCGAGAAGGCGACGAGCCGAACGATCAACAAGGATGACCTGGCCTTTCGGAATGCCCTGAAGCTGGCGGCGAACGAGAGCCTGACCTTGGTCTATGACGAGGCTCACACGCTTTTTTCCTCACCAATGCTATGCGCGGCACTGTTCAAGAGCAGCGAACACTGTCGACCAAGAGTTTTGCTTTTCTCAGCATCAGGAGACGCTTCCACTGCGTCAAAGCTGAATGTGGCTACGCCCGTTGAGATCACCCAGAAGTTCATGTGGACGCCTCCCTTGAGCTACACGAAAGAGCTGGAGACTCAACTGAAGGAAGCGGGTGTGAGGCTGGACCAGAAGAGCATCGAGTTCTTTATGCAATTTTGCGGTGGACATCGTGGAATCTTCATGGCAGCAATGCATTGGGTGAGCCTTCAACAGAAAGGGAAGAAGGAGGTGATCTGGGGCTTTGCGGAGACAGTGAGACTTGTGCGCAACAGCTATGCAAATGGAGATTGGAACAAAGCTGACGGGATTCTGAGCCACGCAAAAAAAAGTCGTGCAATCCATGTCAATGGTCGCTATGAGTCCTTAGATGCAATCCCAGAAGAATTTATTCACCTGCTTTGCAGTGGTTCTTGCATGATCAAGGATGCAACAAACAGAACAGATTTGTGCATTCATGGCTTTATTCTGCCGAAGCATGAAGAAGCCCACGAGCTCCAAGATGTGAACTGGAGCGACTATAGTACCAAGTACAAGGTATCCAATCCGCTCATGGCGTCCTACTACCGCCAGGTTCTGAAGCAGGAGCGAGCCTTGCAAGTTGCCTTTACGGAAGACAAACCGCAGCACAGTGCAGACCTACTGCTGCGAGCATTGCCCTACCTTCTCTTCTCCAAGGTCGTAAGCTTCGCAGGAGACAGACCTGAGTTGGCAAAGGATGGTCTTCCGGTTGAGGCACACTACAACCAAGCCATCATCAGTGTGTTGACAGAAATCGGCTACAAGGCCCTTTCTCCACAATCGTCGAAGCAGGGTCACGGGAAGCCAGACCTTGTGGTCAACATTTCTGAGGAGACATTCGTCATGGAGGGCGCCAAGATCGGGATCGACAGGCACCTTGAGCTCTTCAAGAAGCTGGAAAACTACAAGAATGCCAAGCACAAGGGCTTATACATCATCGGCAACGACAATGTGAAGATGGAGAAGACCGTGAGGGAGACTGAAGGAGGCGAAGTCCAAATCATAGGCTTGGTCCCCAACATCGCCCACACCGCCTACACCGTTCACGTGAAGAGCAAGGGCATCGAACGCATCAACACCTTCACGGTGGACTGCGACCTCGTGGCCAGGAGGTTGGTGCTCAAAGACGATGGCAAGCCTGAGCTCTACAGCGTTCAATCGCTGAAGAGCGTCAACCTGTCTCCAAGCGCTCAGAGCAGACGCTGGGTGAGAAGTCTGGTAGTAGTTTTTTCTTTTGTCGGTCACCGTTCTCTGCTTCGGTGTTTCGGAAGTAGGTTCTCTTGCCTTCGTGCACATGTCATGATGTGTGCTTCGTCGGACTCCTTTTCTCTTGTTGGATCTGCAATTCTCGGCTACCTTGCGTCCGTTATAGCACCAAGGTTTGAGACCGTTGCTCCAGGTGCTAAGACATGTGACCATGGAGGCTGGAGGATTCGAGATACCAGCCTTTGGCGTTCTGTGAGGCACGACCTCTGAGCTCGTCGTCTGGGTGCGGCAGCTGGCCTGGAAGGACGGCGTCGTGTGCGCATGCAGTGTTAGCCCTGTCGTGGAGTTCTTGGCCGGGCTTGGTGTTGGCCCTGGCGCGCGGGATGTGGGGGAGGGGCTGGGCTCGGGATTGCTGGAGTGTTTCAGGAGCGCGGTTCGGGGCTGGGAGTTTCGACACCGCTCGCCGCGCAGGATGGGACGGTCACCGCCAAGCTGAGGCCCAAGGAGGATTCCGATTGCCGGTCGTTTTGGAGCAGCGCCTCTGCGCAGATAAGGTCTCGTCAAGAGGGCGAGGA